CTCCAACTATACGGTCAGTTCAAAGCCAGAGATGGCTATGATCATATACCATTTATGTAGCTTTTGCGAAATTTCTGAAACTAATTTTAACCTTTTTGATCTTTTCAACAAAAAGGCTTATAGTAACTAAAATATATTCAGGACACAGCTCGTTTAAGGGGCTTCATAGTAATAATTTTCAGTTGAAAGATAATAATCAGCTGAAAGCTTTGAGGCGCTCTAAGACCTTCGCATTTAGCACACTTTGTAACTGAATCTATTTAACGTTTGGTCAAAATTCTGATCCTCCAAAACAATAACAATGAACCTGCTACCCGAGAACGTCAAAATATGTACAAGATATTTAAAAGAACATTCATGCCTGGATAATGAGCCTAGCAGTGAACGTCTACCTACTGTTATCAGTGAGTTATTATAAAAGAACTGAGCTTGAGATGGATTCTTCTTTGTAGGAAAGAAAAATCCTGGCAAAGTAAAGATAATAAATGTATTGGATTTTACTAGCCGTTTTAAAAGAGTCATTTTCTTTTAAAAGGTTGTTCCTATCTTGTGCTAAGAGTTTGAAGACTTTCATAGGATTGTGGTGTATGTAGGTCTCTAGATGTGAAGATCCATGTATAATAGAAACTTTACCAGCTACACTTCTAGACGATGCGTAATTTATTGAGCGATGCTAGCATTCTTTATTCAATCCTCGAAATTGCATTCCAGAGTGCAGCAGGGAAGTGAAACTAGTCCGTAGAGAGCCGCCTCGGGCTTGGTCCTCAGGGATTCTCTGTTTGTGGCTAAACTCGCCTATTTATTTGCATATAAGTAAGATCAACGAGCTCTCACGGTGACGGACACATCTATTTCCTTCATATACTTGAATGCCAAAGGGCTTTGAAAAGAAAATGTATTCAAAATGGGAATTCAAAGGTTTATCCTATGTATGAAAGCAGAATAGAAGTGAGGAAAACAGTCATCTTCAAGATATACACATTGATATTTAGAGAGAGAGAGTGAGGGAAACAGAAGAGATAGGTAAAGCTATCAAATGGTTTAGTCCATGTAAGTAAGCCTCCATTTTTCTTCAATGATGGAATTCTAACACTTTTCCATATAACGTTGTCATAAAACGATCGTAACAAGAAAATATTTACTCTTGAATCATTTTGTTTGGAAAGGCATATACGCGATAATGCACTTTGAAAAGGAATTTATATTAAATTTAAGCAAAAAAAGACTCTTTGTTGCTTGTCGGCATTGTATAAAAAAACTTTCTATGAACATAAAAGAAAATTCCTTTAATCTACAGAAATGTAAATATATAATCTATTGGACATATTTTCTTTTTAAAACTAGGTACTCTCAATAAGGCGGTAAGAATAAGAAGAAATGCTTATTACAAGAGAATATTTATTTTTAAATATGTAATTTGACTCGCATGATTTTAGAGCTCTAGTGCTATTAAAATGATCCTTTTATTTAAAATATATTTTGATGTGTAGTAATTTCTATTCAATATCTGACGAAACAGACATTGATTCATAAGTTCGTTTAGGTTGGTAAACCGTGTTCAGAAAATTTTCTGTCACAAAAACAATAACTCTTTGTTTCTAATTCATTGAACATAATTTGCCTGGAATACAAAGTGACAAATGTCACGCACGAGCGATAATGCATGTATCTCTTGCCATAATCTTAAAGCCGCATTATGGCCAGTGCAATTTATCTCTTCAAATATGATACACAACCATGGATAAATCAGTCCAAAGATCGTTAGGACGACGATGCAAAGTTTGTGTTCGAGGGTTGGGGACATTTCGAGATAAATTTGTACCTCCAGTTGTATATGTATAATGTACACAGTTAAATAAAAGTGTCACACCCATAAATGCCCGGATTATTGTTTCACAAGTGCATTTTTTTTATGTCATGAATCCGAATCCCCAAACCGTTTTTCCTCATATGGTATTAACCTCCAGAGGGCCAGCGCAAGTTTAATGACTTAACGCTAAAATCCCGGTCTCGATTCCCCGTGGTGAACAGATCTCAGGCAACGCATTGTATAGCTTTGCGCTAAAACAGCAAACAATCCAAATCGTGTTTTCACGATGTCATCGGGCCCTAAGGTCGGGAAATTCCATCATTAAGTATACATGTAGGTAAATAACTACCGTTCCAAATATAACTGCGTGGCCCGGATGTGAAACTAAAGTTTTGTTATGCTAGTTGAAGGTTCGAATCCGACCTTCAGGTTACTTCTTTTTTATACATTTTTATGAAAGTGTACACACAAGTTATTGACTGTCAAATAAAATATTTGTTTAAGATTTTTGAACAAGTGTTGCACAAAGTTTTATCATAAAACCTATAAAACTTTGTGCATACCTTATTGAATTTGTCGAGTAACATTTGTAGAAAGTTTTATTAAAACATCTATAAATAAAAGCAATGTGACGAAGGTTGGATTCGAACCTTTAACTTGTACATCAAAACACGTGGGCATCACAGTTGTAGTTGCAACGATGGTAAGAATTTTCCTATATAGGCTTAGTGGTGAAAGCTCCCGATATTAGGTCCAAATTTCTGCGCGAAAACACCACATGGGGAAAACATAGTTTCAGATTCGAAGATCATAAAAATTCACCGCTGAAATATTATTTTGGACATTTTTTTGGGTGTGACAGTTACCGACGTATCCGTTTGATTATTTGTTTGTTTGTTTGTTTTGAATTTCGCGCATAGCTACACGAGATCTATCTGCGCTAGCTGTCTCTAATTTAGCAGTGTAAGACTAGAGGGAAGGCAGCTAGTCATCACCACCCACCGCCAACGCTACTCTTTTACCAACGAATAGTGGGATTGACCGTTACATTGTACGCCCACACGGCTGAAAGGGCGAGCATATTTGGCGGGACGGGGATTCGAACCCGCGACCCTCAGATTGCGAGTCGAGCGCCCTAACCACCTGGACAAGCGATATGATGTTCTGAAAACATAAACCTTATTATCTAAACAAAATATCAGAGACTAAATGTTACGCCATAGGTAAGTTATTTTCACAATAGATAAAAATGTATCTGTAGGACTATACACACACACACATCCCGGTTTCAAAACATATATAAAACTGTTTATAGATCTATACATGTATTCTGTTTTCATAAGACACACGAAGTTGTCTATAAGTAAGTATACACACACATGCGTTCTGTTTCTGTAGATCTATACAAACCCTCTGTTTTCACAAGTGATTTGAAACTATCTGTAGGTCTATACATCTATACACGCACATCTGTTTTAACAACAGATATATAACTATCTATATGTCAACAAATATTAAATAATCTGTACACCTATATGCAATATATGTTGTTTTTATAATTTAGGTTCGATCTTTTCACAACAGATCACAAGAGTGAACATAGAATTAAAGACAAATGTGGATGCTTTACATTCACACACACACACATCTCATATCACCCGTTGCACTACAGATAATTTTTTTTTCAACAACGAATCTTAAAATATACATTATATTTTCACAAAATATTCCAGAGAATCATATGTTCAATATATATATATATTATATATGCGACAGTTCCTACATAATCTTTAGCCTTAATCACACACGTTTCGTTTTAAAAACAATTTCCTACAATTGTGGGCCCTATAGATTTAAAAGTTTTGTTATAAAATCTGATCTCATGTCACGTGAAGCCATATATAAACACGTATCTCAAATCTTTCATACACACACACACACACACACAGATTTTACACAATGGATTTCAGACTACGTGTAGCGCTAAACATATATTTTGCTTTCGTGAAATATTTCCCATCATCCATAGTTTCCACACAAGCAGACATTTTGCTGTCACAACGAGTATTAGATTATTTACAACCATTGCATTTGTACAAAGAATCGCAAGTTCTATACACAAAACATTTGCGTTTCATAAAATTTCTGAGCGCAGCTGTTGCTTTAGATATTGTATCATCACAAGAGAACTCGTATAACTTGTAAACTTACAAACTCTTATACGTCTTTAGTGAAGGCATAGAGCCTTTTGAGGTTTCGAATGTGAACATATTGCCTTTGTAAAAGATTACGCTCAATGTGTATTGCTACAGTTAATCTCAAAATGTATGTAGTTTACACCACACATCTCAGAACATTCGTAATACTATACTATATACTTTATTTTAATAATAATTCTATACAGTTTACAAATCTACAATATTTTGTTTCGGAACAGAGCTTATTTTGGCTATATTTCCACAGACTCTCAGGCGCATATACACACACACACATACACTATATTTTCAAAGTTTACAAAATACCATTTCCACATATAAGTTATATCCATGAACGTCATCAGGTCCTTAAGACAGCCTCTTTCTATGACTAGATTTATTGACACCGAAATGTAAATATTCAGTGCAAAATTAAGTTTCCAGCCTCGGAAAATAAATGACGGTTCGCTTTTAATGAATACTTCAAAGAGTTTGTCGTTAAATACAAAATGTTTTGAGGATCACTGAAATGGCCTTAAGTATAGATCAAGAAAATTTTAATGCTTATTAAATGGAGCAACTGCTTTCAACGACATTTGTTTGACACAATCATTCCTTTTGAATTGTAACAGCTAAAATTGAATTTTTATTTAGAGCGACAGATACTTTCTAATTAGCCAACATGCGATTATCCAAAGACTTTCCGCAAAGCCTAGCGAGTTTCTTTCTCTTTTCATAAGTGGCATCGTTCAACAAAAGGATCTTAATCGCCCACTTCTAAGTGTTTTCAAGCCAAGATAGGCTTAACAAGAAGTTTGATGAGCGTAAGACACGCTGATGTTTCAAGAGACCTGACTTTCTCGCTGCACCACCAAACAGGATTTCTTGTCCTACATCAAAGTCGAGTGGAGTTTAGAGTAACTAGGAAGCGACTAATTTTCCGGGACTTCCAACTAACTAGCGTAATTTAAGCTATACTTACCTTTACTCTGGCCATCAGGTCCCCGGAGGATTGTACACTCATCTATTGCTCCATAAGGTTGAAATAATTGGCGAACGTCATCTTCGGTCTGCTGTTTACTGAGCATGCCCACAAAGAGTTTACGATCCTCTGTTCAAAGATAAAAAAAAATTACTTCAGTAAATTAAAGCCAGTTTTAACTGGTATATTTCATTATAACTTGTTATTGATACAACCCCTTCACC